AAAATATAAAATATCTGGTTGTTTATTGAGAAAAATGCAAAACTACATAAAATACAAGTTTTCATGCAAAAATATAGAAAAAAATCACTTCTCATATATGTGGCATCCAAGACTTATCCACTACACAAGTTTAACAAAGTCTCTAGTCAAAAACTCTCAGAGAAGAGATACACTACTTAGTTATTAGTTACTATTACATAACCCATAAAACTGATTACATGATGGTTAAAATTCTACTGAGCAGCTGGGCATGGAATCCTCCCGTTTTATTGCCACCCCTTGAGTAACTAGCATACAGACACCAATAGGTGGCAGTAAATAGCAGTATAAGTGCACACTAATAATAATAATTTGCACATGTCTTGCTTTTCTAGCCTAAACAATATTTTGAAGACAGCGAGATCCATTTCTTCCCATGAGAAAGTCCTAACAACATCTGCAAGCAAATAACGGAGCTCAGAGAGCACCAAGAACTTCACAGTTCAACCCAGAGCTACATATATTCTCTTCTATTGTTCCAATTCCCTGTTTCTTACTATTCCTGATGGCCTTGAGAAGCTTCTCTTATACTTGCAGTTGACAGGTTATAGAACTGCAGCTGTCGCTTTCAGAACCTATTTTCTTTGTAGTAGTCAAGCAAAAGGTTGCTTATCTCCTGTCTGTCGCCTCACCCCTTTGGCAATGTTGCCTTCTTGACAGTGAACTCATTGAGTTTGCCCTTGAAATTCTTAAATTCATGGTCCCCCAAGTCCTCTAATGCATCCAGCAAACGGTCACTGGTGCCATCACTCTCCTTCAGTGAAAGTACCCACTAACTCTAGCCCCAAAAGGGCACTAAGTCAGAATGGCAAGAAAGAAAAGCAGAAGTGAAATCTGAATTTGCCATTTATTTCCATTATTCAATGGTGAGGGACAGCACTGTGAAACAAGCTTCAGCCTGCCTCAATTTTGTTGACCCGTTGGACAGGGTGAGAACTTTCTTATTGTCTGTTTTGTGGTTTCCATTTGGGTATGCGTGTGATCCTGCCCTTAAGTAGTTATAAACATGCAAGTTTCACAACAGATGATAGTTACAACAGTGGAAAGAGATAAAAAATGCTTTAACATTATCTGAAGCTGGGGTGAACTTGGCAGAAGTCAGATAAATAATTAGCTGGAGAATTTAGAATGCTCTTCTTAAAAATTGGAATAATAATGCTTAAATTCCAGCCTTTTGGGAGATGGCCCATAGAATTGACATAGATACATATTTTGGCTAAAGTAGTTTTCACCATCCTGGATTATCTTTAAGTCCCCAGGAATGAAATCTTCACCTAAGACTTTGTGGGAGAGCAAGCTGATCTTATATAATTTTAAATTTTATTATTGTTTATTGCATCTGTGATTAACTGTATATTATAACATAGGTTGGAACAATATATTAAATTATTATATTATTATAAAAAAGTCCATGTAGAAATAGAGTAGATTTTCCCTTTGTGAGTGTAACAAGCCCTTGAAGGGAAAGCTACAAAAATACAGGGCTAGAAGATGCTGTAACACAATGGAATTCTTAGCTACGTTGGAAGATTCTGTGAGAAGGAAATAAAATCCCCCCCCCCACCTCAGCAGGAAATCAAAGCTTCCCATTTGTCTCACTCTACCATTGTTTATCTTAACAGCAATCCAGGTATATGACTAAATTAGAGTAAGAAGGGGCTCACCTAAAAAGGTTACAAACGGAGCAGGAAGAATCCAGAGTCCTCCAGCCCAGCGCAAAATTAAACAACTAAAGACCTAGCAGGAAGGGCCAACATTCCTTGAAGCCGTAATCGAATCATAAAACGATTTGTTCCCTGAAGGGATCTACATTCCACTTAGACAATACCAGATAAGGCAAACACAGGAAACCCCCGCTCAATAGGGTGCCTGACCTTAGGTCACTCCCTTCTAAAGCTCTAGTCAATTTCACCGGAGAGCCGCTTTCTTGGAATTCTGGTTAATTACCTTTTCTAAGAATTCCTAGAGGGCGGGCATTCCTGCACCTTTCAAAGAGCAATAGGATCTTCCCTATAAAAGGAACTCCTGGGGAAACCCCGAGCGCAGGCCGACAGCTGATCCTTTTGTGTATCTGGCTCTCGGAAATAAAGTCTTCTCTCTCCTTCAAGCAACCGCCTGCGTGTTTATTCCCGGCTCGGAGACGAACCTGGTAAGCTAACAATTCCAAGACCTCAGACACACCTAAATAAGAGGAAAAAGTAGATTTTATTAAACACCTTTACCATTCAATGCAAGAAGAGATCCAGGTCCCTCTGCAAAAGGGGCTGTGTTGGCTGGGCACTCCTTGGAGTCTTATCAACGCAACAAGCCATGGTTTTTATAAATTTGATACAAGACAATGGGATCTTACCATCACTATTTACAGTTCATTATCACCCAGCTTATACATGTTCAGGCCATTTATTACTTGTGCTGAAATTATTTGAATTTCCCACTTCCACTCAATCCGGAATTAGTCCTTTCCCCCTCCCCCAAATAGAGATTTAAATGGAACTTTTAATTCTAAATAACACAGTGAAGTTCAGCTGATTTACACAGGACAAAGTCTTCCAGGAAATCCCTATGCTACACTGAGAAAGATAACCATCCATCTAGATGCTACCCATCTATTAACTTACTTTTGTCGTTCCCAAGACTTGCTGCCGCTGGAACTGAATTCTAGAAGCACGCTTGCCATCATGATTATTCTCTCTCACTCAACACAGAACTCTTCCATTTCATTTCCACTTCTGTTACTGTTGAACAGAATTCTTAAACTCCTTTTTTTCCCCAGTCCTAAAGTAAGACCCAGCATTGCTGTTAGAGACAAATCCACAATAAGTGACCTAGTTTTAGAAATAACATAATGAGCTTGCAACTTATATTTTTTTACTCCTTACCTGGCTTGTCCTTAATAATTAAGGTAAACATTTCCCACATTAGGCAGGAATGGACAACCTGTAGCACATGTGAATTCCATCCAACCCCCATTTTGTGGGCCCAGAGCATCTTAGAGTGCCCCCCTGAAAACTCGCTTTCTTTTGGCTGAAATAAGAGGCAAGATGAGTGTGTTGTCTTGTAGAATACTCAACCTCTCTCCAAAAAAAGGCTGAAAGTTGTGCCCCAGCTAACATCACTGCCTTTTTTTAAAGGCCTTTTTTCTAAAATGAAGTGCATCCCTGCGAAGGAAAAAAATTGCTGCCCATTCTCATGGAAGGAGAGCTATCTTAATGTCTTGGCACATCTGGAGATGTCCAACAGAAAAGGCCAATGATGTCCATGTAGTATTGCAGTTCTCACAATGTCTTATTGATCAGAGCAGTTACTATGAATCCACATAGTTCAGGGCAGCCTTTACAAGACCAGTTTGCTTTGGAGGAGGAAAAGAAAGAACTAGAGACTTATGTAGCTCCTCTAAAAATAATTTTTATTTTACAAATGTACAAGTTGGGAATGATTAATTTTTTTTTATTGTATATAGAAAACAACAAAAACCCAGAAAAAACAATAAACATAACTTTTTTAAAATGGTAATTTTTAATTAGTAAAAAACATTTTACCAGATTTAATTTTTAAATTCTACTACCAAAACAAATTTTAAAAAGTACAAAACCCCCTAAGAATTAACATATTAAAATGATATAAATCAACTAAATATACTCCACATATCAAAACATCAAATTACCCATAAAATGGTGTATCCCTGTAAAATATTATAAAACTATGTCAAAAGGGAAAATATTTGGTCACTTTTTGGTTGAAAAAAGGTCTTTTTTGCTTTTTCAAAAATCAATCAATTACACTTTTTTTAAATCCAGTCCTTGATGTTTGTATTAGTAGTACCTTTCCAGTCTCTCAATGTAATTCTCTTAACTCAATATAACTTCTCTTATGCTTAATTCTCAAACTTACAGTATGTGAATATAATGTATGCTGTATAAGTAAAATCATATATTGGCCAATGAGAAATATAACAGGAAAAATAAAACCTAGATGCAGTGTAAGAGAGTTAAATGAACATAATGAAATTATACATTAATAGAATCAGAGGATTAAGAAAATAATTTCCTATGTAGGGAAATAGCAGCTGAAAGAAATGTTGTGACTCTCCTGGTAGTATTAGGAACAGATGTCCTCTGGCAAAGGGATGTCTATTGATGGCCATATGCGTAAAAGCATAAAGCTTAGGTTACTGCAGAAAGGGCACTGAAGGAACACCTTGGCTAGGAAATCCAGTTCTTCCAATGCAGAGGGGCAAAGTCATTCTGCGAAAAGGGTATTATTGTATCTTCCCTCCAATTTTGCAGAGGGCAAGACACTGAAGAGGGCTAAAGTGAAATGCTACTGTGTGATGATACATACAGTAGTTTGGTGGCATGAAAGGTCTCCTGTTCATATACTGCCAGTTTGGGGCACGTAACGGTGCCCTACTCTGCTTTAAGAGCTATGACTGATGCCCACCGCCAGATTTATTGGAAATTTATTATTTCTGTCAATGTCTTGGTAATTACAAGCTGGGACTGAATGTTTGGGAGACACCACCAGGAAGCACAGGTGATGCTGAGGGACTCAGAGGCCCTACGCATCTTAGCCCTAGATGATGTCAAAACACATTCATGGGAGAAGCAGCGAAGAGACCATGAATACTTATGCCACACTTTATTATGTGGCCCTTGCCAAAAGCAGCTGTATAACTGGATGGAATGAGGCTACCCACTAGGAATGGCAGTGAAGTGTTGAGGTGGAACTGGTTGTGCCCTGCAACTTGTCCTGTGCCCTTGAAGCTATGCAGTTGTTAGGTGAAGTGGAAAATCCCACCTTACCATCAGCATAGAAAGTTCAGTTGGCTGCCATTTGGGGTTTTCTACAAGGGACAACTTGCAGTTGGGCACCATCTTGTCCCAGTCAGACAGAAAAATTGATGGGGCTGGTTCTGTTTTTTAAAATACCAAATCATTCTTTTATGGCTTTGCTGTAAGAGACTCACAAAGGCAGCCCTGGTGTGGATATTCTATTGAGCCAGTCCAAGCCAAGTGGAAGTTACATGCACATTTTAAAAGTAAACTGAATTTTTAAAAGATAAGGAATCTACAGCAGGGGTGGGCAACTCTATCTGAGGGACACATATCAAGGTCCCTTTTGCAGACCTCAAACACTCCTCTGACCATGGTTGCTGAAAACCTATGGTACATAGGTTTCCTACTATGTGGGGGAAGTGTTCACCTTAAAATAGGCACATCACAGTTATAAAGCAAAGCAACCCTTCAAAACGTCCCTCCCAATTCCACCCAGTGCAATATGTGACTATACTTAATTTATCTCCTCAGTCCCCACCAAGAGTTAAGTATGGTCAAAATTGCTACCCCAAAATTGCTACCCCTGGTTTATAGTAAACAACTCCAACTTGATGTCCTCTAGTCTTTCTCTTCAAGGTCTTCAATGAGAAACCTGTTCTTCATCTTCAGGGCTTCATAACACTGATCCTTGCAAGAATAGTTCCAGCTGGGCACAAACTGGTAGAGTTCTCTCATCTTTTCCTGGTTGGTTCCCCTTGATAAGACTTTTTGGTATTGTTCTAAATCAAGAATACGAGCTCCATATAGCATATCCATAATTCCTTCCACATTGACAGTCCGCTGGATCAGTGCTTCCCGATGGACCTCAATGAAATGTAACTCTAACCGGAAGTGAAAGAGAAAAGATTGAAATGTTTTGAGGAAGCTTATTTGCTACTGTACAAAACATTAATTATCTGCATTGGATGAAGAGGATCCTTAGATGAGCTGCTTTTTGCACTTGTGAAAGGCAGGAATATACAAACGAAGCCAGAATAGCAGCTTCCTTACTTGTAACTGTGGTTTTCCAACTGTTCATCTGTGCAAACAGCAAGTTTTTCTCCTCTATGGACTCTGTGCATCACACATATGAGTAGCATGCTTACCTGGAAGGAGGTGGGTTACATGCCTAATCATTTAAGAACAGGCCATTTAGCCAAGAACAGGCTAAATGAGGCATTCTGTGCTAATCTGAAATCGAAATAGTAATGGCATAGGAACACTGAGGGCTGCACTCAGGTTACAACCTTCCTATATGACATTGCAAAAGGAATGTTGACATATAAGGTGGCTGAGGTAGTAGCAGGTGTAGTGAAGTGGGATTTGCTGTAAGAGGAAAATTTTTCTTTTGCTAAGGGGTACCAGTGAAATGGTAGCAGTGATCCACTTAGCATAGTGCTGTGGTGAAACTATGGAGCCAGTTTGATGTAGTGCTTAAGGCATCAGGCTAGAAACTGAGGGACTGTGAGTTCTTGTCCTGCCTTAGGCACAAAGCCAGCTGGGTGACTTTGGGCCAGTCATTCTCTCTCAGCCCTAGGCAGGAAGAAATGGGAAGCCACTTCCAAAAAGCTTGCCAAGAAAACTGCAGGGACTTGTCCAGGCAATCGCAGAGTCAAAAACTGACTCAGAGGCTCACACACACACAACATGGTGAAACTGGCACACCTTTTTTCTTATTCCGTTAGCAAAGGAAGAGATCTTTGGTGCAACAGAATTGTGCAGTGTGGTCCAAGTAGAATGCCAGAGCCCTGTGAGCATCTACAGAATGCTCTAATTCAGTAGAAAAGGCTGGGTGAACAGCAACACAGTAAGTTCATATGGAAAATAGAAACTACCTTAGGAAGAAGAAAGGTGCTATCTGATCTCAAAGCAACCTTGTTGCTATGGATAGGTGTAGAGAATTTGCTCTGAAGATGCATAGTTTACCAGCTCTGTGAGCAGAAGAGACCATTATCAGGACATTGAGTTTAAAAATCAGGAGGTTTACGGCTACTATAGCTATATGTTCAAAAGATTTGCAAAATAAAATAATAAAAGATTTGTTTCTGAAAGTAAACAAAAGACCCCAAGTTGGAACAGGAAGTTTAACCAGGGGACCAAACTGAAGACACTATTAAGAAAAGTCTTAGCTCAAGGATATGAGAAAACAGGGTAATGTTCCATCTGAATGTGAGAATTTGAAATGCCAGCGAAGGAAGCACAGAGCTGAGAGAGCCTTTGGAATAAAGCTACAGCAAAAATAAATAAAATAAAATAAAATAAAATAAAATAGGGGGTGGGTGGGGAAGCAAGCTAATTCAAAGATGGAAGAAACATGGAGTAAACAATTAGCTGAGCAAGAGTGATGCATCGATTCTTTTCAGGCTTTCCTGCAGAAAGAAAGTAAGACAAAGAAATGGTAATGAATAAGACAAAGAGGATGGTAGGTACTACCTTAATTCCAACTCAGGAGATTTGCCTGCTATGGAAAATTAAGTTCCGTAAAGTCCAATGCAGAATGTGGGGAGATGCACCCTGAGATACTTTGTGATGAACTCCAGTGAGAAAGAGAACCGGCAGGAAGGAGGAATGCTTCTTAAATGCCTGACCTGCTTCAGAACAAATGACGTTGAGTATTCTCTCCTGCTGTGAAGAGATCAGCTGCAAGCAGATTCCACTGTGGAACTATGATTCAGCTTCCATTTATCTGTTGCACTTACTGAATGGCTGAGATTACCCACCTTGTTGTTCACATCCAAACATGAATGCTGATAGGTGAATGTACAAATCTCAGAATCGGATGGTGAATTCTAGGAGATAGAATGTGCCCCATTCCTGTTTCTTGAGATAAAAAAAAGATCAGGGATAGCACTGAAGGCAATCCGAAATATTCTGTTGCAAAGAACAGGATCAAAGGCCATTACGATATAGTAAATTGTAAGAAGTTCTAGTTGATTCATATGGTAAAAATGGAGAGAGAAAGGAGATGATTGTGTGTGTGCCCCACTGGTTGTTGATGCACTGATAGTGAGAAGTACAGAAGGAGGCCTTCTTAGGACTGTGTATCACTGAAGACATTGCCTCACTGCCTGGATGAGGAGTAGGCATGAATATGGAATATGTGCAGATGAAAAGAGACACTATACTAAATCTTCATGTAGAATCTGACTAATGGTGTTTTTATCTTGATCACAGCCATGAGCACTAAAAATTTCTGAGTATGAAATACCAAGACAGAGGGATAGTCCTAATACCTGCTGCAAGTCACAACAGGGCTTGAGCCTTGTCTTGAATGAAGAATGCTGTGAAACAGGGAATCCAAGGGGCCTCTCTAAATGGGAAGGATGCTGTTAAGTGCAGTTTGGACTACATGAGTTTGATGCAAAGCCAAGGTGATACAGTGAGTAGAATGGCTGCCAAATTGCAGAAGGTACTGTACTTCAATCATGCATTTCTTTAGGAGCTACGGAACCTTGAAACAAAGCGCAGAGGAGAAGACAAAGTGCAGGGAGTGACACAGAAGTCTTAGCAACACAGAGAGATCAAACTCTATTGCATGGCTTATGCATATCATAGTTGGGACCTAAGGATCAAAGATAATGGTTTCCCAAGCCTCAAGGTGGTAGGCCAAGCTCACTAGCAAAACCTCACCACAGGGTCAGAAACAATGACTCTGTCACTTTAAGGATGAAATTTGATGATTAGGATGATTAGGCCTTGATTGCTGTCCAAGTCCAGGAGAGCCAGAATGGAAAGACTCATCTCTGATGACTTGCAGGACCAAGAAACGGTTAAGGCAGCAGCTGGTATGGATACAGTAGATATCCATACAGCTGGTATGGATACAGAAAGTACTCTTTCTTGTTGTGCTGCATTCCTTAAGATACAGATATATTCTTCATATGTGGAGTTATGTACACCATTTATTTTGAATTACTATTTCATCCGTTGTAAATAGCAGCTTTTCTTTTTTATATATAAAATGTTATTAAAAGTTTTAAGTACAATAATAAAAGATAGTACAATCTAAAAAGAAGGAAAATAGAAAGAATAAAAAGTGCAAAAGAGAAAAAAGAGAGAGAAAAAAGAGAGAGAAAAAAAACCTAAGAAAGTGACTTCCCACCCTCATCAAGACAAGTATAAGCAATTTCACTATCTCGTCACCTTCTCTTAATTAACAATTAACAGATAGAAAACTCTTCATCCCATAACTCAACTATTAACTATAGGCAAATCCAATAAACGGTGTCTTTTCTAATCCAAGTGTCTGCAAAAAATCCAAATAAAGCCCTAAAATAATAACATTAGTTAGCAAATAGAAAACTCATCTTTCCATACCTCAGTTCACTCTAAGCAAATCCAATACACACTGTATGTTTTCCAGTCCAGATGCCAACAAGTCCAGAAAGAACACCCCCCAGAGTAGCAACATATCCCATTTTAACCCTGATCAAATAAGCCAACTTTATAGTCCTTTCCTTTACATAAAACAATCTTGCTCTTTAATCCATTCTGATGATGATTATCCCATGTCTCAAATTTCTTCAAAACTTTAACAAGCCTTTTTGTAAGTCCAGCAAGAAGAAATTATTCCATTTACTCTCTCGAATTGGCATTTTTATTTCCTTCTTAATTTTTAGAGCCTTATCCAATTTTTTTACATATATCCAGTGATAGATTTTTGCTTATGTTATTCTCCATAATTGCTTCAGATAAGTTTAAATCCAAATCTTTTTCTGTAACAGTTTCTTCTGGTAGAATAGCTTCTTCTGGGAACAGGATGTTCATAAAAACACACAACATATTTGACACTATTGATTCAAAGACCCACTCCACAATATCTTTACATGCAATTATAAGTTGCTTATCTTGCTAGGTCTCCAATGTCGAAAATAAATTTTCTTTCTCACGAAAATACATTTATTCTTTAAAATTTATTTAAGGGTCTTAATATTCCAAATCAAATATTCCAACATTTTCTGAGCCCTTAATCCATTTAAAACTTTCTATAGCCAAAACCTTGCAGTCTCCTCATAAGGAGCAATCATATGGAGCCCTGCTTGGGCAATTTTGTGTCCTCTCTTTGTCCAGAGAGGGTCAAAGGAGCCAATGTACTTGTCGGCTCTTTGTTCTTAGCCACAATTATCAGCTCCGCTTTGTGCTTCTGGAGATAAATAGTAGCTTTTCATGGGTAGATTTGACCAGATTTGAAATCATGGTGCAGGAGGATGGAAGTTAGCCTTACCATGCTGTGATCCTAATAAACCTATTATCTGATATTGAGTGTGTATATCTAATGTAGCCTTCTAAGCCTAGTGCCCATCTGCCCAGATATAGTATGTCAGGCTATAGCAGCCAAGCTCCTTAAGGATGATGGGCAAGATGATACAACAGTGGAGGATCCATGGTTTGCATAGTTTGGCAGATTTGTACACAGTGGGAAGACACTAATCACAGTACCTTTTTCTTGATGTTGTGTGCCAGAAGCACGAGATGCCTGCTGAGTCCTTTGTTTTTTGGCTGTGGTTTCTGTTAGATTCTGCAAATCCTCTAAAACAAAAGGAAAGAAAAATGAAAACATGAATCAACACTTTTCTGTTTAATACGGTATTTTCTCCTTTTAGGGGAAGGCAATGTATAAGTCAAAACAGTAAGTCCCACAGATGGTTGTCACAACCAATTTAGTACCATGGGTTTCACTGAGTGTACTCTATATGTGACACAGACATAGATTACATATTATTTCCCAGGAACAAATGAGTATCTGGTTATTAAGAGGTATAAAAAAAATACAACAATGCATAATCCTGAATATACCCAATAAAAGTTACATGAACCTTGCTATGAAGTTGCTCTCCCCTCTTTAAAAGGATACATTCTACATTCTAAGGCAGGGGTCCCCAAACTCTTCAGT